GGACATTGGATCCTGTGAAACTGGAGTTACAGGTAGTTGTGAGATGCCGTGTGGATGCTGGGAGCTGAACTGGGGTGCCCTGCTAGAGCAGCAAACCCTCTCTCCAGCCTTTAGCTGTATCTTAGATTTGAGATTTGAGACAGCAATTTTGGGTTTAGGTTAAGGTGTGTGTGTGTGTGTGTGTGTGTGTGTGTGTGTGTGTGTGTGTGTGTGTGTTGTTTGTTGTTTGTTTGTTTGCTTTAGGACCTAGGATTAGACTCTCTGTCACTGGCTGTATCTCTTAGCCCTACATGAACTCTGTAATGGACATCTTCGACCATCTGGAGATGTTGGGAGGTTATTTATAACCAGTGAAAAAGGTCATCCTTGTTGAGATGTAGCTCAGTTGGTAGAGTACCTGCTCAAAGGCCTTTGTCAATCCCAAGAACCACACAAAATGTGTGTGATGGTATAACTCTATAATCCCAGCATTCAGGAGAATTACAAGTTCAAGTTCATCTTTGGCTACATAGGGAGTTTAAGGCCAGCCTGGGATACTTGAGACCTCGTGTCACACACACAAAAGGGGTACATTCTTGATTCTCTTTCGTCCCTCTTTCCCTTCCTCTAGCTTGTGGGCCTTGTGGAAGGTCTCTTGTCCTCATCAGTGTCTTTCAGGGCTACTGATGGTGGTACAGGCTGAGAGTAGGCCAGGACCAGCACTAGGTTAAGATTTTAGGAGCTGCCATAGACCAAGCAAACGGTGAGCCAATCCTGGTTAGTGTGGGGACTTACAAGAAAACCCTGAGGGATTACAAGCCTGGATGTGGCCTTAGCAGTAGCATGGGCAAGGACTTTGTGAGTTTTTGCCGATTGCAAATCGCTGCTGCGCCAAGAAAGCTCTTGGGGCTATGTTTTGTGTTGTGCATTTGTTTTTTGAGACAGGCTTTCTCTGTATCTCAGGTTTTCCTGGAACTCATGGACCTCCTGCCTTGGCTTCCTGAGTACAGTCATTTTCTTTTTTCCTCCTGCCCCTGCTCTCCCCGCGCCCCCTTTTGAGACAGGGTTTCACTGTGTGCCTCTAGCTAGCTTCAAACTCATGCTCCCTAAGAAGGCGTGGCTACAGCTTCCCCTACAATCTGCCTCAGCTTTCCATTGCTGTCACACCTGGCTTAACTAAACAGGTTTTTTTTGTTGTTGTTGTTTATGTTTTTATTTTTGCCTCCCTTTTCTGCTATTTCCTTGTGGACTTTTTTGTTCAGATTTAGCCCCCCTGCATTGGTCTTCTGACTGTTTTCATAGTTTTATGTTTTTGTTCAAGTATACACCACCACTCCTAGCTTTGCATTGAATTAAATTTTTTTGTAAGATTTACTTTTTCACTCGTTGAGACAGAGTCTCACTACTCAGGAACTCATTATGTAGATCAGGCTGGCCTTGATCTCCCAGAGATCATACTTCCTGGCTCTCCAAGTGCTATCGTTAAAGATGTGAGCTGTCATGCCTGGCTGCACTGAATTTTTTTTTATTTCAGTATAATTTTAATTTGCCAAAGTCCCTTTTGTTCCCTGAATGCAGAGATGGTTCATCAGTTAAGACACTGGCTGCTCTTGTGGAGGACCTGGTTTCACTTCCCAGGACCCACATGATGGCTCACAGCTGTCTGCAATTCTAGTCCTAGGGCATCTGACACAGGGTTTCTCTGTGGCTTTGGAAGCTATCCTGGAACTAGCTCTTGTAGACCAGGCTGGTCTCAAACTCACAGAAATCCACCTGCCTCTGCCTCCCGAGTGCTGGGATTAAAGGCGTGCACTGCCTGGCATGGCATCTGACACTCTTTCCTAGGCTTTGAAGGCACTACATGCACTTGGTACATGGTTATACATACAGGCAAAACACCCATACACATAAAAAGAAAAAAAAAATAGCACCATGTGAAGGGTTTTCTTCAAATGTCTCTTCTTTGGCGGCCTCTACTTCTTTGGCTGTGAAAAGCTGGGTGGATACATTTCTCCATTGCCATGACTCAGCTGATTCTGTTAGGGGTCCTCAGCATTTCCTTCCCTGCAACCCTCAAATAGTCCCAGCACCATTGTGTTTTCCAGAAAAGCCCTCACAGGTCTCCTGCCTGCAGACACAGTGTTGAGGGCTCAGCTGGAGGGGAGTCTTCCAGTGTCTGGGCATTCTGTAGAGCCACTTGTTGCCCAAGGCTGTTTGGCCTCTGTTTGACAGCTCAGATGGCTGTCAGTGTCTGGCTGCTGGGTTGCGATGGAGGCTGGGAGGCTGTAAGTGCCCTGTAGATGGTAGAACAGTCCTGCCTTCAGCTCTGCTTCCTGCCTCCTGGTCCCTGAGCTGTCCCCTTCCTTTCCTCTGGTGGGCTTGTTTTCACTGGTGTTGTGGGCTCTTAGTATTTGGTCTTCTAATCTCATCTGCTAATGTTTCCTTCCACATTAATTTTCCAAAATTGTGTTGACAAGTCTTAACTGCTGTCATTTCCCTCCTCTGTTCTTGGGAGTTTAATTTACTTTACTTGGCTGAAAGCTTATTTTATTATTATTTTATTTGCAGTATTGGATATCAAACAAAGGGCTCACACATGCTAGGTAAACACTTTACCACTGCCAGCCCTTTTCTATCTTATTTTGAGACTGTTTTGCTAAGTTCCCAAGGTGACTTTTTAGCCTCTTGCCTTGGTCTTTTGAAAAGCTGAGGTTATGGACCTGTGCCACTGCACTCAGTCTGAATGAGAATTGATTTTTTTTTCTTTACATGTTTGTTTATTTATCTTGTTGTGTACATGCATTGCATGTAAGTGGAGATCAGAGGACAACCCGAAGGAGTCAGTTTTCTTTTTCCAACATCGGATTCCAGGGGTTGAACTCATGTCTAGGTTTAGTGGTAAGCATCTTTACCCACTGAGCCATCCTGCCAGCCCAGAAAATGTGTATTTTGATCAGAAGTGTAGGCTATTATATATTTACCACATTTGGACTTAATTCTGCCATCTGTAGTTTTCCAGTGTTGGAAATTGAACCCAGTGCCTCAACTACTTAGCCTACTCCCAAACCCTCCTTTCCCCAACCTCCCCCTTTTCTTTTTATTTGATTCAGTCTCATGTATCTCTGGATGGTCTTGAACTCTATCTCACTATTGCTAAAAGTACCTTGAATTTCCGTCTTCTGTCTCCACCTCCTGAGTGGAGGATTATAGGTGTGTACCTCCATGCCTGGCTTTATGCCTGGGATCAAATTTAGGACTTTGTGCAAGTTAGACAAGCACTCTACCAACTGAGCTACAGCCCCATCCCTAGTCCTCTGTAGAGTTTCACTATGTAGCCCAGGCTGGCCTTGAACTCATAATCCTCCTGCCTTTGCCTTTTGAGTGCTGAGATTGCAGGAATGTGCCCCCAACATGCGACCACGTCTGTCGCTTTATTTAATACTTTCTACCTATTACATCTTCTCTCTGCTGCTTTCCCTTTCCTTTCCTTTTTTGTGTAGACTGAATTTTTTCTCCTACTTGGAAAGTTATGCATGATTGAGTTTGTGTATCATTCTTCTCATGGTGTAACTTATTAAGCCCATGCTTGACTTTATTATCGTGTGTCTCTGCCACAGAAACATGAAGCCCCTGAGCATGATCTCCTGCTTCCTCTGCTCTCCCTGCCTTGGTGGGTCCAGGCTATATTCCATGGCTGGTTTCTGTGGAGGGACAGGGCACCCCTGCTCATTTGCCATTGCTTAGAATTGGGTGTCTTAGAGAGGTCTCAACTCTCAGCAATGGTTTGGTTTTGTTTAAAGGAGATCTAAAAATATCCCTGAGGTTTTGTGTGGGGACTAGGGATGGTAGGTAGGAGAAGTGAGACAGATGGATAGAGCAGTGATGCTGGGAACCCTAGGCCTGGAGCTACTCCACAGTCTTGGCTCCAGCTTTGTTCTCAAGAGTTGTGCAGAGCATGGTACCCCTGGTCTGTGCGACAGGGAGAAACATCCTCGTTGGGAAGGAGTGGTGACTAGACTGTGTGCAAAGAAGCAGCCTTGGCCTGACATCACCAAGTTCTTATCAAGCAGGAATGTGGACCCAGCAGCATCGGAGCCTTCAGTGTTTCTCTAGCAGTCAGGAAACTGAATTTCCTGTGTGGAATCTTCCAACTTATATCCCTGCTTATATTCTTGTCCGGGCTATGTGGCTAGCTCTGGTCAGACACTGCAGCCTTTGCACAAAGCCCTGGTTGTCAATGATGATGTCACCCTTTACTAGTTGTCCTCATGGATTAATGTCCTTTTCCTGACTCAGTGGTTTCTCCTAAGGTGTGGCTTTCTACTCCCTTCCTGGATCAGTGACTTCCTCCTGGGCTATTTCTCTAGGCCATGTTCTGTCATACAGGTTAAATACCCTCTTTGTTTGCATCAGTGCTTCCTCAGTAATTGGTAAGGTGAAGATACACTCATTCTCCCCTGTACGAGTTCACAGACTTCTGTTTTCCCCGGAGCCTGACTGTAGGCCCTTTCCCACACCCAGGCTTTGTTCCTGAAGTAGGTGAGGGGACTCTGCTCTCCCCACTGGCACACGAATAATGACGTAGTATGCACACCGCAGCTATTAATGCCTTGGCCTGTAGCAAGCAAGCTGTTGGCATAACCCTTGGTCCTATGAGTCTTCTTAACTGGCCTCTCCTGCCTATGGTAGGCTTTCGTTTTCTCCCGTCATCTGTCTTGCACTGCCTCTGGCCTCTACTGCCTGAGTGGCAAGTGGCTGCTGCTTTATATACTCTGCAGCAGCTGGTGACTCACTTCTCAGCAGCCCCTTAAATAGGGAAGTGACATGTTTGCACCTGGCAGGGCCTGACCTTTGAGTGACAGCGGAAGTAGCTGTGTAAACATGAGGTTCATTGCTAAGGGGAAATCCTGTTCACCATCAGGCTGAGGAGAGCATCTGCCTGTACTGGCCCTCATGTGGGCCTGTGGCTCTAGTAACTTTTGTCTTTCTCTTCTTCCTTCCCTCCATGTTCTTGGTGACAGCTGGAAGTCACAGTGGTAACAACTGAGAGAGCCAAACATTTCTATAGCCCTCAGGATGTTCCTGTCACCCTCTACAGTGACGCTGATGAATGGGAGGTCAGTGCTGGGCCCATTGCTTTTCCTCCAGCAGGACAGAGCTTTCTTCCTAGCAGCCTATGGTCCTGGCTGCTGGAGCAAACAGTCTGGGCTCAAGTTAGTGGTCAGGGCCATCTGGGTAGAAGCAATGAGGAAAACATCTGTCTAGCTTCTGGCCTGCGGGAGGCCTGTAGTCCCGCCTTCCTCAGGCAGAGCTCAGCTTTGGCCCAGTGCCTGGGGTTGAGTGTCCTTGTACTTATCTGGGCTGATGAAACCACAGAGGAGCTCTGTTCCCACCACCCTTGTCCATGTGGCTCCCAGCGTCAAGGCTATCCAGAGTGTTTCACTTCCCACGGCCGCTGGCCATGCCTCTGCCCTCCTGCAGAGGGGTGGGCATCTGCCGATTTGCCAGGCGAGCAGTGTGGGCCTCATAGGGTTGCCCTGCCAGGCATTTTAAAACATTCTCAGCCTCGAACATTTCTGGCTGGCTTGCCCTCCCCTCCCTCCCCTCCCCCCTTCATTTCTCACCGCCCCAGAGCCCTTCTACTGGCTTGGACAACCCAAGCATCCGCCTCAAGCAGACAGGCCAGGAGTTCCCTGCCAGATGTCATTTCTCTTGAAAACCAAACCATAAAGGGAATAAGCTCAGAGAGACAAGGAGCGTTTGTTTCCTCAGGCCTGGTTTCTGTCAAGCTCCTGGCTCCATGGCCAAAGCTTGCCAGCTTCACTGTGAGAGGGGACAGTGGAAGACTTTGAGGGAGAGCTAGGTGGTTTCCTTGTGTTTTTTTTTTTTTTTTTTTTTTTTTTTTTTTTTTTTTTTTTTTTTTTTTTTTTTTCAACTTATTGTACCTGGCCTATTTGGCCATCATCCCCTCCCCACACACACACTGAGAGTGACTGGGTTGATGGCCCCCATTTCTTTCTTTTGGCAGATGTGGATGCGCCGCTCTGACCCAGTTCTCCACATTGACCTGCGAAGGTGGGCTGACCTCTTGCTAGTGGCTCCCCTTGATGCCAACACTCTGGGGAAGGTTGCCAGTGGCATCTGTGACAACTTACTTGTGAGTGACTCCTGGTGCCTCTCCTCCAGCCTTGCTCCCAGTTTGCTGAGCTGCAGATTGCACCATACAAGGAAATCTGTTACTCTGGGGCGAAGGTCTGTCCAGCAGCCCCCTGCCCTTTTCTCTTTAGCAAAGAGGCTGAAGTTCTGGGTCCGATGCATCGTCTGGCTTTGCCAGTGCTCTCTGGGAGTGTCCACCTCTCCCCTGCCCTCAGTGGCCAGCCAGGGGCCGCACCCTCAGCCCCCTGCTCTTCCATCTTCCTTCACCACAGCTGCCCTCTGTGTGCACTTCCATTGATTTCCCTGCCTTTCTTGCTTCTCCATCAGTTCTGCCTTTCCCCCAGAATCTAGAAATCCATGTAGATGTTCTGATAAAGGATCTATCAGAGAAAGCTTGGAGAGAAAGAAGGGGAAAAACCAAAAACCAAAAACCAAAAACCAGGTGAGAAGTGATTGCCAGATTGGCTTATGCCCGTGAGACCTCTTGGGAACTGCTCCCTTAAATGCCATTTGCCCTTTTTATGTGATCATCCCGAGAAGGTCTTACGGTCACCCCTCCCTCCATTTCTTGATCTTTCACTTCCCATATCCTGGAGGCTCATAGTGAGGACACAGGGAGCGCTTGGTCTGGAGAGTGACTTGTGGGTCACCCATGCAGGCAGGAGGAGTACTCCATGGTGAGTAGTGTAGACTTAAATGACCCCATCAGTCTGTGGAGCATGCTCAGTGCTGGGCACTAAGTAGACACTTACTATACTACTTGTATGTGGTAGGAAGTAATTTTCTTTCATAAATATTTTTGTTTGAATTTAATGTGTGTGTGTGTGTGAGAGAGAGAGAGAGAGAGGGAGAGAGAGAGAGAGAGAGAGGGAGAGAGAGGGAGAGAGAGGGAGAGAGAGAGAGAGAGAATATGCAGGCTTGTCTCAAACTTTTGGCAGTCCTCCTGCCTCTGCTTTCTAAATACTGGGATTGCAGGTGTGTGCTACACTCAGCCAATTTTTAGAGTTGAAATTTTAGAGTTGAAAATGGTGAAGAAGTGAATATTGAAGCTGCACCAGGAGCTTTAGGAGCTCACATATAAAGTGTTCTCTCACCTGGGCCCGGTGGCATAAGCCTGTAATCCTGGCATCTTGAGAGGCTGATGTAGGAGGATCAAAAGTTCAAGGCCTGTGCAGGCTTTCTCTCTAAGTAGGAAGTAAAGAAGACTGGAGCGATACCAGCCAGCCCTTAGTGGCAGAATGCTCGTGTATCGAGTGTGAAACTCTGGGTTCATTCTATCCTTGACTGCTTATTAGGAGGCTCTTAGCCCCTCTTCTGGGAAGTAGCTGGTGGCTTCAGCATCATTAGACTAAGATTGTAGGATGGGAAGAACCCACGTGATGCTGTGGCCAGGAGCAGACTGGCCAGGGTAGGACAGAGAAGCAGAGCCAAGTACAGCATGGTCCCCACTGCCCAGTAGGACTGGTGAGGGAGGTGCTCAGTCATGCACCCCAAATCCCTGGACTCCCACTGGCAGGTTAGGAGCGGCTGATATGCTAAAACACACCGACCTCAGAGCTGAACCCCAGCCAGCTGCTTAAGGGTTCTTCCTACCCTCTGAAAATTTTGGTCTCCCTTCCTGTTTGTTGTTGTTATCATCATCATTATTATATGCCAAGCCTTTGCTTTTTTGAATATAGCCTGTAGCTGGGCTGGAGAGATGACTCAGTGGTTAAGAGCACTGGCTGCTCTTCTAGAGGACCCAGGTTTGATTCCCAGCACCTACATGGTGGTTCACAACTGTCTGTAACTCCAGTTTCAGGGGATCTGACACCCTCTTTTGGCTTTGTAACATGAAAAATAAAAGCCCAACAGAGACAGATGTTGGGCTCAAGCTGAAGATCAGGGAAGCAAAGCAGCCAAGGTACCAAAGAGCTCTTACCTCTAACAGGGCTGGGGTGTTCCTATTCTCAATATGGCTAGAGAATGAATGCCTGATACTGAGACCTTGCTCCCGTCTTATATACCTTCCTAATGTTGGGATTAAAGGTTCTGAGATCATCTTTGTGTGAGCTGTTTCTCTTTAGAACTGGATCAATCTTGTGTAGATCTGGGTGGCCTTGGACTCACGGAGATCCATCTACCTTAATCCTGAGTCCTAGGGTTAAAGGTGTGTACCACCATCTCCTAGCTTCTGGCTGCTGGGATTAAAGATGTGTATCACCACTGCCTAATCTCTATAGCTTGAGACAGACTTTGCTTTTCTGAATCCTCAGGCAAGCTTTAATAAATCATAAACACTCTATCACCATAGGCCTTCATGGGCAGCAGGCACACATGTGATACACAGACATACATGCAGTCAAAACATCCACACATATAAAACAAATATAATCTCATAGCCCAATGGCCTTGAAATCCTGATCCTCTTGCTTTCCCTTCCCAAGTGATGGGATTGCAGGCAGGGCCTAAGAGCTTGGCTTTTTTCCCCCCAGGCTGCCACACTCCCTATCTTTGAGGTTCTCTTCTCCAGAATTGGCTGAACAGTGGAACATGTCCCCAAACTAACCATTTCCTCAAACAGTTTGACCTGAGCACAGATGTTGCAGACAGTTCTCCGGTGTTGCAGTTTGAACTGTAAGCATCCTTGTGGGGCTACCTTCTGCTCAGTGGGTGTCTTAGAACCCTGAAGGGAAGCTCAGCCCACTCCCTCTTTCCAGACCATCCTGTCTCCAGCATCAGAAAGGTGCTGGAGAGCAGCTGTGTGTTGTCCTGCATTCCTTGTCTCCAGGCCCACAGCCTGGAAATGTCTGTCTCCGTCTGCTCTGGCCTCGCCTCTGTGCTAAACTGTCAGGTCCAGAAAGAGGGGGTGACTCCCCAGGGTTACAGTCTGGCTCAGTGCTAGTCTCTTGACTAGGATCCAGCCTTCTGCCCTGCCTGAGTGGGTTCCCAGGGGCCAGGCTGAGACACTGAGCACAGTGCCAGCCCCTTGGCTGTGGGAACCAGTGTTCTTTCTCTCCCCTTCCTACTGCTGGTTGCTTCAGAGGAGCTGTGGTTTGTTCTGGAAGTGCTGAGCTCCAAGTCAGCACTGGGGAAGCAGCCATGCCGAGGGCAGACAGTTGGGTGTTTGCTGTGGTCCCGGTGCTGTGCTTTGAGAGTGTTTAGAACCCAACCCAGCCTGCCCTACACCAGACATCAAGGCCCTTCTAGGCTTGCTCACAACTTCTGCAAAAGTAGCAGGTGGCACAGAGCCAAGGGGAAGTATGACTGAAATTGTCCACTAATAGCCAGGTTGTCCTGCTGAGAGGAGTTGGTGGGAAACCAACTCTGGTGTCTGGAATGACGCAAGCAGCCAGATTCTGAGGCTGTTTGCTGTCCCAGGAGAGGGTAATGGCACTGAGGGACAGGCAGGCACTGGCTCTGACCTATGTGTTGCATTGCTCTCTGCTCCCTTCTCCTGTCCTGAAAGGACTCTATTTCTGGGGAGGGGTGTCACAGTTGCTGTCTCCCCAGGAGCTTTCAGGAGGAGGTGCCCGGTGTAATCTGAGCATAGGAGCCTATTTCTCTGGGAGGTGGTCCCTGGCTCCTGAACCTGTGCCTGGGGTAATGGAGGAGCCTGTGTGTGGAGCCTGTACTTAGTGCTAGGGTCTCAGCTAAGAACTTTGATTTGGGTCACCCACCTCTAATTCCACCAACTAGGTAAGCAGGGGACCAAGAGTTCAAGGTCGTCTGTTACATAGGCAGTTCAGGCCAACCTAGACTATACAAGACTGCCTCAAAAAACCACCATACCACATCACCATCAAACGTATTCATATTCTTTCTTATTTTTATTTATTTTGTTTTTTGAGACAGGGTCTATGTAGTGCTGTCCTGAACTTGCTGTGTAGACCAGGTTGGCTTCAAACTCAGAGAGATCAGCATGCCTCTGCCTCCCTGGGGCTAGGATTAAAGGAGTATGCTAGCATGCCCAGGTTGCCCTTTTCTTTCCTTTTCTTCTTTCTCTTTCTTTCTTTCTTTCTTTCTTTCTTTCTGTCTTTCTTTCTTTCTTTCTGTCTTTCTTTCTTTCTTTCTGTCTTTCTTTCTTTCTTTCTGTCTTTCTTTCTTTCTTTCTGTCTTTCTTTCTTTCTTTCTTTCTTTCTTTCTTTCTTTCTTTCTTCCCCTCCCCTCCCCTCCCCTCCCCTTCCTTTCCTGTCTCCCTTCCTCCCTCCTTTCTTCCTTCTTCCTTCCTTTCTTCCTTTTTAGACAGAGTTTCTCTGTGTAGTCCTGGATGTCCTGGAATTTGCTCTGTAGACCAGGCTGGCCTCAAACTCAGAGATCCACCTGCCTCTGCCTCCCAAGTGCTGGGATTAAAGGCATGAGCCACTACTGCCTGGCAGTTCTTTCTTTAATACATTATATATTATATTTCTTTAATATATATATATATATATATGTATATATATATATATATATATATATTCCTGTTACATGGTCCTGAACTTGAGATTCCTCTGTCTCCAGAGGACTGGGATTACAGGCATATGCCATCCTACCTAGCATTCAACTATGGTTTGATCTCAAGCTTATATGAGTTCAGCGTTTACAACCTTAAGACTCTGAGTTGGAAAATAGGAAGGGAGGGAGGGGGAGAAAGGGAGGGAGGGAGGATGGATCTGAATTGGTCAAGTTCTTTCATAGCTGCTCTGCTGTGTGACTTGGGTGTAGTCTAGCTTTGGGAGGTGGGGAGACAGTAGTCCAATGGGTGGTTGCACAGGACCATGTGTGTATCTAAGAGTGACCTTGGATAACTGTTTATTTGTTAGGGAGTTGCAGCTTGCTCGTCTGTGAACAAGGGGCAGTACTTTTATAGGGTTACGGTAAGGGAGTTGAGATAATGGCTGAGAAAAGGTATCATGTGTTGGATGTTTTCATTCTCAGAGTCTATTTGGCCTAGAAGTAGAGCTGTTGCTGAGTAGAACATGAACAATCTGGTTCCTAGCCTTCCAGTGATAGTGAAACTAGCCTCCTGCCCCCTGGGATTGCTTCCCAGCCCTGCAGTTGTGAGCCCATGTGAAGGCTTAGGCGGGGAGATTGCATTCAGAGTGGAGATCTGTTGGTGGTATCTGGGGCATCATGGGTGCTGATTGAGTATCCCCTGTGTCTAGGACCATGCCAGAGCCTGAGGGGAGATGATGTGGGCTGAAGAGTCAGCCCCTCTCCCTTTAAGGATGCAAAAACATATCTTTGTAGATGTGTGACACCCAGCCATCCCTAGTCAACTGTTTTGCTATGACTTGGGGGTACTGAAGGGGAGTGGTAGGCAGAGCATCAACACCTCTCTCCCACTTCTTCACAGACCTGTGTCATCCGGGCCTGGGACCTCAGCAAGCCCCTACTCTTCTGCCCTGCCATGAACACCGCCATGTGGGAGCACCCTCTCACTGCACAGCAGGTGGGCCAGCTCAAGGCCTTTGGCTACATGGAGATTCCCTGTGTGAGCAAGAAGCTGGTGTGTGGAGACCAAGGTGGGCTTCTTGCCATACTCAGCCCAGAGCTGTAGAAGGGGCTCTGCTTTGGGGTCATCTTTGGGTTCTGTGGTCCAGTGGCCCCATTGTAACTTTGGACAGAACTATTTTCTGAGCTCAGTTTTCATCTGGCAATGGACAGAGCGCTGATTCTTGTTTCTCAGGATCATTAGGCTGAAGTGAGACCGATGTGTGAAGTATCTGGTGGAGTCCCTGGCAATAGAACAAACACGGTTAACGGAATGACTCCCAGAGCCTGTCCTGGGCTAGGTTGCAGGGGATATGGTGGGTGGGTCTAGCTCATGTAGAGCTGTTCTGGGGTTCCCCGGGTAGGAAGTGAACAGGGGAGATAATGAGTGGTAGCCACAGGCAAGGTTAGCTCATATGGGGACTCTCAGTCACAGATGAACTTTGCTTCCAGGTCTAGGAGCCATGGCTGAGGTGGAGACCATTGTGGATAAAGTGAAAGAAGTGCTCTTCCAGCGTGGTGGCATCTAGCAGCGTTGACTGGGATTTTTGTCGTCATATCCCTGCACCCAGTGACTCCAACCTGAGCTGATGAAGAAGGACATCAGCCCAGTATGAAGAGCCTGTGTTAGCTGAGGAGGGACTGGCTGGCAAATTCTCAGAGCTTTGGTAGTATTCAGGCGTCTGTACTGGCCTGCCCTTGGGGTTCTGACAGGATATGTCCTCAGCTGCAGCCACTAAGAGCATCTCCTGTGCACTTTCACTATGTTCCCTTTTTAAAAGGGCCCTGCCCACCTTCCATCTCTCTCTCTTTCTCTCTCTCTCTCTGTTTCTCTGCCTGTCTCTCTGCCCCCCCCCCTTCTTCTGCTGCTCCTATCTCCAGAGGCTGGTCTCTCCCCTTCCCCTTATTTAAAAAACAAAACACCTCCATGTGAGGTCTGTGGCATCTTTTTCTCTTGCACCACTGTTTTTTTTTTTTTTTTTTTTTATATATATATAAATTACAACAAGCTTCCCTGGGATCTAATCCTCTTCAAGTTAAACAGAGCCACAGACCCAGGTCCTGCCTTATTACCTTCTTTCACTAGGAGATGCCTGCTTTCCAAAGGCCCTCCCATTTCCTCCTGGGATAGGCCCAGCAAGCTAGGCAAACATGCTCCTACTGGAAGGACAATTGAATGACTGAGGACAATTCCCCTCCTGCCTGGGAATTGCTCTTAGAGATACCATGGCTTTTACTGGGCATGGTGGCTCATGTCTGTAACACTAGCATTCAGAAGGCAAAGGAGGATTGCCACAACTTTGCAGTTGGCTTGGGCTACATAGTGAGCCAAGCCTGTGAATGTGACAGCCTATTTCAAAACCAAAGCAACAAGAAGAAACACCATAGTTCAAGATCCCTGGCATAGCATGATGGGGGAAGTGCTTCTGTGTGTTTGTCTTACTGGATGATAAATAAAACACTGTTTGGCCAATGAGGCAGCAAGTTAGGCAGGACTAGGAGTCAAAGAGGATTCTGGGAAATGTAGTAGAGAAGTGGTGTTCCAGGCAGGAAGTGACATAGCAAGGAGACTCATATTTAAGAAAGGAGAAACAGGAAGTGTCCCCTTTTCCCTGTTGCTCTTCCTCCAGCGGTGCAATGTGATCCACCGGAAAGGAGGGATGCCAATAAGGTGTCCGATAAGATAAGTCTTACAAAATATATACATTTATGATAATTGAGACTGAGCCAACAGTTGAGAATCCTAGTCATTGGCCAAGCAGCATTGTACCTAATACAAGTCTCTCTGTGCATTAATTGGGTCCCTAACTCGGGCGGGCGGCTGGCATAGAGCGCACATGTGGCGGTGGGGCTCGGCGGCTTTTGGCGGAAAGATTTATCGTAACAATAGCAGGCTGCTGATCAGGCCTTGGAAGCTTCTATTCTTTGGTGGCCAGGTGCCACACAGGGTCAAGAAGCCTGTGAGGTGCAAGACTCATCACCTTTCCTCACAGACTGTACTGAGAAGGGGGCAGGTATGGTTCTGGGAAATAAAGAAAAATGACTTTTTAGGAGACTGTGTCCTTCTTTACATCCTGTCTGTGGCCTCAGAGGACAGGCACATGGTCAAGTGAGGCCAGAGAAGGTTCTGGACTGATGACTGACACCTGACTAGACTAGCACTGCCACATTCGCGTGCAACGTGGGTGACTAAGGAAAGAGCTCCTGGAGCAGACGGATCAGGTTCAAATCTCAGTCCTACCACTAACCAGCTGCGAGCCTTGACTGTCCCTCACTTTCCAATCTGTATGTTATTCTTTCAGAATAGAGCTGTTGAGAGGATTAAGTGATGTGTGTGAAAAGTATGTTTGTCTCTTAAAGCCACAGGGGACACATTGCATGGTTCCCAGTGGAATACTGAGGCCATAGTACAGAACTCTCTATGTATGATATCTTCCTATACATACATAACCTATGATAAATTCTAATTTATAAATTGGACCTAGTAAGAGATTAGCAAAAATAATGCAACAGTTACTCACTTTGTTCTGTAATAAACTATTTTCCATGCTGAAAATAAAAGAACAATTAAAAATATAATATGGGCTGGCAAGATGGCTCAAATTCATAAAGGTGCTTGCCACCAAGCCTCACTACTTGGATTTGATCCCTGGGATTCACATGGTGGAAGGTGACAACTGACTTCTGAAAGTTGTCCTCTGATCTTCACTCTCACACTGCGGCACACACACACACACACACACACACACACACACACTAAATATAATAAAACTTTAAAGCTATTATCAAACCCGTGTGAACATGGTCTTTTAGCAACGTCAACATACAATTTTAAGATTGTATTAAGTCAAAAATTTAGACTTTGTTGTTTTTTTAGACAGGGGTTTCCTTTTTTCTTTGTAGCCTTGTCTGTCCTGGAACTCACTCTGCAGGCCAGGCTGGCCTTGGACTCACAGAGATCTGCCCGTCTCTGCCTCCCGAGTGCTGGGATTAAAGGCTGTCACGCTTGGCCCAGAACTGGACCCTTTCACGTAAAGGAAGCACTTGATGCCTCTTTGGCTCCACTGCATTGTCGGCATCACTACTCTTGTGCTTTGGGGCCGTTACTGAGATGAGGGCTACGGGAGCACGAGCACTGTGGTATTGTGACACTGCGGTAGTTCATCTGTTGGCACAGCCATGGTAGCTGACTGTCAGTCACATACAATAAGCACCTGCTGGACTAGGATAGAGCCCCAGGTGTGATGTTTCATGCTCTCCAGCACAGTATGTGACTTTAAACTATGGACTGTTTTAATAAACTTTCATATTTCAGACTATGACTGACTGCAGGGAGCAGAAAGCAACCCTGCAGATAAGTGGAGACTTCTGCAGCCACTCTGCTGAATACCTGGAATGTAATAAACGTCAAATAAATGAGCATTGAAACCATGTGTGCTCATCTCAGAAGTGCACACGTGTGGCAGGAACTTCCCTAATATTACTGAAATAGCACATCTCATGTTTAGGGAAATAAGCCCCCAACCCTAAGCTGGCACAGCCCTTCATGGAGGTGACAGGTAAGCCAACGGCACGGCTGCAACCTTTCCTGAGTTCCACGCCTCTCACTTGCCTCCTGCTCTCCATGTTGGCCCTCTGGTTCCCATCCTTTCAGCTTGTTCTACTTGCCTGGAGATGCCTGCCCTATTTATGGCACACATGGCCTGGAGGACTAGTCTCAAGAGAGATGCTGACCTAGAAACCTCTTGCTGTCTCACTTTTGACCTAGTAACTCCGATGTGGCTGTTGTGTGGCCCTCTGTATTTGCAGCTGAAGTGGGGGCTGCTTTCTGCTCTGGCTCCTAGACTAAGCAGTATAGACATCCTATGGATGTCCTAAAAGTATTATGGGTACAGATGGTGATGTACCAGAACCATGGTCTCCAGCAGCCGCCAAGAGCCCTTCTATCTTGAATTAGTAAGTGACTAGCACAGCCATATCTATTGGTAATGGCAAAAGTCATGAGGCCAGCACAGCTGTTTAACAAAGAGCCAGCAAAGCTGAGCTGCATGATGGCCACCATGCTACCTTTGGTTTTCATCATCTCCCCATCATACTTGGGGAACTCTTTAATTTTTGTACAATTTGGGGATATTGGATTGATGGGAAATTTCTTATGAATCATTTATGCCTTCTCCCAGGAGTATTGTTTCTAAGCTGCCCCAGGAAAGTCCTGAACACACTACCCCTCCCGCTTTAAGGGAGATATCCTTATCTACTTAAAGGTCTTCCTTATGCCTTGGAGGTTGTGACACACATAAGAAGGCTATGAGACGCTCTTGAAACATCTGTCCCTATACTTACACAGGAACAAGATAATCAAAACAAAGTAAACTCGAAAAGGGCTAGAGGAGTTGGCCATAGTTCAGATTGCAAGCCTCTTCCACTATACACTCAGGCAATTATGTGGCATCTACAACAACAAAGTCAGATGAACTGAAGTTACCTCTGCCCTATACAGAGACTTACATTGTTGGGCAAGGAATGATGTTAAAAGACTATGTAAGTAGGAGATGTCAGGACCTCCCTTAGAAAAGTTAGCTCATGCAGCACCACTATGGTGTCATATGACCAAAAAACAACAGGATGCCAGGATTAGACATAAAACAAATTTTATAAAGATACAAAATGTGAACATTGTATTATGCCAGAAATTGAATAATAACTTCAGCAACTTTGGCCTGAGGATTTTTCCTGGGTACTCTGACCATTAAGAGTTAACAATACGCCGGGCGGTGCACACCTTTAATCCCAGTACTCGGGAGGCAGAGGCAGGGGGATCTCTGTGAGTTCAAGACCAGCCTGGTCTACAAGAGCTAGTTCCAGGACAGCCTCCAAAGCCATAGGGAAACCCCCCTTCCAGAAAAAAAGTTAACAATACACTGCTTAGGACATGGCAATATACCTGGGCTGACTTGAAGATATTGTTTTGGTCTAGTGTCCTTGTAGCCACAAGAGCTTCCAGCCTGAGAATAGTCTCATATGCCTCTAGATTCTTAAAAAATTGGGTTTTGGGGTTAATGAGTAAGAATGATCATAAAACATAACTGTTTATCAATTATGTCAAAACTGAGGGAAAATGATTGGAACTCTGTTCTGTTATAGTTTATTAATGATGACTAAAAGATGAGCAAAAGGAAGTGAAACACATGTCCATAAACAAAAATTATGAACAATATGAATGTATCCCTACTTACTAAATTCTATATAAATAAAGAAACACTCTGGCTGCTAGTCAGTCAGGCTGCAAGATTCTCACCATCCCCATAGCATGGCTCACTTTTGTGTCGTGTGTCACCCCCTCTCCCAACTCCTTACCTCCTCTCCTGGGACCCATCCACCACTGGGGATGTCTCTCGGCAAGTGATCTTTTGGGATAAAATTGCCTGAGGGCTGTAGAGAAAAGGTAACCTAAATAGTAAAGAATGAACTTTAGAGTCAACAAGGTGGATGGCTCAGCAGGTAAAAGGTGCCTGCCACTATACCTGATAACCTGAGTTCAATACCTGGGGCCCACAGAGTGGAAGGAGAGAACCAGTTCCTGGGAGTTGTCCTCTGATTTCCACATGGGTATAATGACATGCAGACCCACACACATGCAAAATAAATAAGCAAATATTAAAGTACAAAACCACAATCTCATCAGCCTGAGATGTAGTAATGGAAGAGTACTTACTGCCTAGCATGTGTGTGACCCTGACGGTAAGCAAAACCAGAAACTTCTTAGCATTGAGTTTGAGAACTGTCTAGGCTGGAAAGTGAGTTCCA